AGGTTTCCCCATCGCCAATCGGCGACATTATTTGGCGAGATTTTAGAGTTCCTTTTTTTCCGTTCCTTATTTTCCGAGTGACATTTTTTCCGTTCCTTATTTTCCAGGGACATTCTTTCCGTTTCCCTTTTTTCCGGGTGACATTTTTTCCGCACACCGGGAAATCTCCTTATTTGCCCTGCTCCCGAGAAGTAGGAACAAAGAATACGTTCTACCTCCAATTCGGAGTTAGGAAAAGTCTAAAAATTTGAAAGCTTAAATTTTGAAATACAACTATGGAATGAGTAAAAAACCACGTCTTGTGTCAAAGATGACCCACCCTGATAATTTTAATGTTAAACAAATGTTGTTGAGTTACACAGCTGTACGTGAAAACTTTGTTCCCCGCATTCATCATTTTAAGTTGACTAATTTTTAATGTCACTTTAAAAACTTTGTAAAATTACCAAATAATAATAAACAACTGATAATTATAACTACAATTAACAACTGAAGATGCAAAACAGAAACGATTATGAGATGCATCTTAACGGTTTTTTTTTTTTTTTTCTTTAAAGGAAAAATGAAATACGAGATCAAAAAAACGCTGCAAAATTGCAATCTCAAATAAAAATAAAATAAATAAAAAATAATAAAAAGTTAGTTTGTTTGTCTTATATTTGTATTTGTGAGTTAAATAATACATGGCAGTGGTTGCATACTGAAATTGCACACTTAAACCCAATGCGCATTTTGAAAGGAGCAGGCAAGCCGGAGTTTTTTCAGCAAAATAATTGTTTTAATTAATTTTTTTTAACTAAGTATTGATCAAAACATACATGAGCAGTAATAATAATTTATATTTCAACTTTGTATTTATTTTCATTCTGAAATCTAAAGGTGGGTATCTGCAAGGAGTTTCTTCTCATTCTTTGTAATTTAAACGTATGGACAGGCGTACGTATATTAAATTTTCACGATGATATTTATTCAAATAATCCTAATATATTGAAGTAACCATTGAATAACTTATTTTTAACTTGAAATAAAAATAAACAAATAACGAAAGCTTTCAAAGAGAAACAAAGCTCGAGAATTAGTAATGACAATCCGTTCTCTTTCTTTTTTTATTTATTAAATTTTTGTTTTATTTGTATATAAATAGTTATAAGCTTCTTTATTTCTTCCTATAATTTCAACTACAATATTTCATGACGCTACGATTTTAATAAAGTTGGTAATCTTGGAGAAAAATTACTAGAAACTATCTTCATTACGAATTATAAATACTCATCTATCAATCAGGGTCCTTTTTTAGAATCTGAAATCGCGGAAAAACTGTTCACACGTAAATGTACTCCTAAACAAAACGATTATTTTTATAGCGAAAATTCGTAATGGAAGGTATGTATCTTTTGACACACACGAATAAAAATCAATCAGATCTGTATATCACAGTGTAAGCAAATTAGTTCCATTCATATATTTTCTGAAGCGTTGCTCACGTTCGTTTGTGTAATGAAAATAATGTAAATTAAATCATTATAATTGTAAAATTCTTCCTTCAAATTCTTTTTATAACAATGCTAATTAATTTAGGCAAATGTATGCTTGGGCAGTATAAAATTGCTTTGAGGGTTGCCGATTTCCCACTGGTATTTGGCGCATATCTTACCAAAATTAATCAATTAAATAATCCAAATATGTAAGCTGTCAAAATATTTTTCTTCTAGCCAAACTTAACGTAAGATAAGGTGGTCGACATCATGCATCTCACAAGGGCCCACGAATGGCCAAATTGGGAAAACTCCCTAAACTAATAGTTCGAACCGGGTTGGAAATTTGACGAGGGATGTTTTCGTGATTTTAGCCATGTGTAACATAAATTTGAGCCATTCTTCCATAGGAAGTGTCCTTTACGAAAACCCTTAAACAAATAGCCCTAGTATGTATTCAATTAAACGAATAAAATTACAAACATACATCGAAAAAAGGTGTTTCCTAAATTTAATGATAGTCTTCGAAAAATTTGAGTTTTGGTACTACTGTAAACGTTAACTATCAAATGACATTAAATTAAGATAATTAGCAAACATGCAGAAGCAAAAATCTCAGCACTTATTTATATGCTTCTGCTTTTTACTTCCTTGTACGAAGTAAAAAGGAAGTATTGTAATCGCGAAAAGCTTCAGGCAGCATATTTCAACGAAAATATCCACTTTGACCGCTTTCGAATGCAAATTTAACGATGTTTTTGCGTGATATCTGTACGTAAGGACAGAATAAAAAAACTCTTTTTCTCCCAAAAAAAAAAAAAAAAAAAAAAAAAGAAAGAAAGAAAGAAAGAAAACTAAAAAACTGCTTTAAAATGAATTCTGAAGATAATTTTTCGTGGCGTCTGAACGAACGTACATACGTATCTCGCATAACTCAAAAACGAGTAGCCTCAGAACGTTGAAATTTTGTATATAAGACTTCTGTAACATGTAGATGTGCACCTCGTATTTTGGTTTCAATCGGCCGCGCCAAACGTATATAAATATATCTATAAATATATCCACTCTGTTACCCGGTTCAATGATCTCAGTTTCTTTACTCTTATATGATTGTAAATTGTACATTTTTTGCTTTAAAAATGATTGAATTATGTTGTTTTTATCTTCCGGTTAAGGGTTTTATGCCTTTAGTAAATCTATATGCAATATTTTTAGAATTATCAACAATTTTAAAACTGTTTAAGTGCCGCTAAGCCTTATTTGATGGCGGCCATTGCTCTTGTTTACATTTGAAACAGCTGAGTAGCGGATTTGTTGCCAATCTAGAGAAACTTAGCTTCGCAACAACAAAGATAACACCTTCATTTATTATTTAAATCATGCTTAATCCTTTCTGGAATTGTTTCGAGGAAATAAGCGTTTAAGATTTACTTCGTAATTTTTAATACAGATATTTTGAGTTTTTTTGTATTTTGCGAAGTGAAAACTGAATTAATTGAATGAGAAATACTCAATCGTCTGTGAAAAACTGTTTCTTTTTTGTTTTGTTTGCTTAATTTCTTTTACACATAGTTCTAGCTTTATTATAGTATTTGAATAGAACATGTGGCAACGATTAGATAATTCTTTAAATGATATAAATTTTGTGCATTCTGAATTATAATATGAACGAAATAAGTAAACCTAGTGCCAGAGTGTCGCTATAGTAAACAAAGTGAATTTTAAAGAATGCATTTATGCTATTGTGGTTTATGCGCTGTCGGCGAAGTAGGTTTAATTCAATCTAATAAGTTTAAATAAAATGCAAGAAAAAATGCGTATAATTTAATATTCCGTACAAGGAAGTCATGTGGTGTACACATCAGATTTTTTGTTATAAGTGTCAGATGCTGCTATATATTAGACACATGCATTTTGTGGCCACTTATCGCGTATTACCCACATTATAAACGCCGATGTTGACAGGAAAGATTTTCCTCGCTTATCGATTAGCATGATATGTTTTTCTCTCTGCATCACTAAACGTAATAGTCCCTAGTAATGTCGCGCTTGCAAGCTCAAAATTAAAATGCTATAGAAGAAATATGTTGCTACGCTATGGATATGTTTATTTGGCTGTGTGGACCATAATAAGCTAATTAAGAAATAAGCCACTGTGAATACGTTGAGTGAGAATAAAGTGAAATTTCCCGAAAAGAAAATTGAAAGTAGGTAAAGGGGAGAGAGGGGACCGTTGTCTTATAGAAAAGCTAAGCAAACGTGAACTAATTGCAGGAAGAGGTGTACACAATACCCTAAGAACTGAATGCGAAACATTCGATGAGAAAAAAGAGTATGAAATTCAAAATGGGTAAACATTATGCACAAGCAAGGCAAGGTTATATACAAAACCAAGTACAAGTACACAACGAACAATGTAAAGCAACGAAATCAATAAAAACTACACATGAGAAGAGAAGTAAACTTCTTTATATAAATAAGGGGGTATAAATAGATCGCGAAATTGTGGTCTCTGAGCGAATGAGTTGCACTCAGCCCGATCAAGAATAATCTGATATCGAAGATGGAGAGCTCCAAAGATCTTGCCTTCATTATAAATCCAATCCTTTGTGGTCCAGATCCACAAGTGGCCGAGCGTTAAAAGTAGCTGAACGCTGGTAAGTCGGTCCGAGGTTTGAATTCCGCGAATGGGCTGGGTGCATAGGCATTTTCGTGTTTTTCCCCATGATTAAAGTGTATACGAGTCAGTTTTCATTAGAAAGTCTTCCACAATAGTATCCCTTTCTTTAGGAAGATAGACCGCCATTGATTTGCCACTAATCGACCACTCTTTTATAATACCACCAATAAATAATCGACCACTCTTTGTTGTCCAGTCTTCAGCTCACATTAGCCGAACGGTGTAACTCTGAGCGCATGGAATGCCATGAACCCTGAGCCAAAAAACGTGCATGTAACGTACACGTTCTTTGTCTCAATGGTAATTCTCCCTGATTTTTATTCTTGGCGACTGAACAAATCTCCTCCAATGGATTTCCAGTTTTCTTGTTACCTGGTGATTAATAAACATCTTGTATTCTTGACTATTTTTTATTTCTTTCTTAAATAAAAAGATTTGAGAATTTATTCTCCACTACAATGTTTAATAGGTGATGTTTCTCTACTAATTTGTAACTAAAAATAAAATTCTAGTCAATCGTAATTTGAGCGCAGTAAATTAGGGGACCTCCTACATTCAAACCCCTCTTTGTCAAGATCGAAAGTTACACTCCATTTATGTTTTCAAAGTGAAATTTGCAGTCATTGCATATGAGCATAGGTGACTATAATGTTACTTATAAAATAATTATTTATTTTAATAGGTAATTATTGTGGAATAGAGTAAAATATTTGTAGCCAAAAATAGATTCATTATGTAGATAATAAATTGTAAATTATTGCAGTAATGCATGAATTATGAAAAGGCTATTAAATCGTGAGTGAATAAATAAATATTTTCTTTACATGATTATATTTTCATTTTAGGTTCGACGGAAAAGTCCGGTTGGGATGTATTTCTTATAATATTTTCGTATATTTTAATAATACTTACATTCCCACTTTCAATTTTCTTCTGTTTCTTGGTAAGTTACATTTTTCTGGTATAAATATATAAGTTTAATATTTTTTACTGAATATTATTTCATATGTGCTTTCGAAAGTATTCTTTGTAAATAATAACAGATTTCTTTCGATGAAAAGATAAACGTTGAAATTTAAAAGGCGTAGAAAGTATATTTTAAAATTTGACAAAGTCTACTAGTCAAAATTTAAACAAATAAACACCTGACTAAATAATGCATTTTATTGAAAGAAAATTTGTATCTAAACACAGATCATTGGTTCTTAAACTGTGAGTTTTAAAACCTAGTAAGATATGCACTTTTCCTAAATATTAACCAATAATTTTATGGTTTTGCTTAGCACTTAGCTGCTTAATAACAATCTTAATTACCTTTTTAATAAATTAATTGAATTATTACCTTGTTCAGAAGTCAAACAACAAAAATCAGCGTTATAGCTACAAAATTCCTATCTTGTTCATTTGCGGTTTTGCAGCTGAAGATGATGGTTCGGTAAAACCATCGAAACTAGTCCTGTGAAAATTTTGTAGCTATAACGCTGATTTTTGTTGCTTGACTTCTGAATTAGTATTTATTCGGCGTGTTATTGTGTCTTAATTATTACCTTGTTATTAGTAAAATACATTTATTAATAACAAAAAGAAATATTGTATATTAAAAATAAAATACATTTTCTACTCTTTAAATAAAATAAAATAAACATTTTAAATAACATATATATTTAAAGAGTAAAGCTTTTAAATAAAAATCAAAAGATATTAATTTTATCAAAAGTAAGATATATTTATTTATCCTTAAGTAAGTATCCTTTTAGTAAGATATATTTATTTATCCTTTCAATGGAAAGGATGTTATTCTTTGTTACTCGAGGCTTTTCCCATGCGTAACACAGATACGAACCAGGTCCCTTAGAAAGTCTTCCACAAAGGTATTCCTGTCCTTAGGCAGATAGCTCATGAGCGCTTCGCCATAATAAAAAGGAAGTAAATCCCTAGTACAGATGGTAAATCAAATTAGGCATTTAAAAAGTATAAATATTTCTTTTATTTCATACATAAAGCTAGAAAAAGTATTTTTTTTAACCAATGCAGTATTTCTTCGATTTTATCACACATTTAGTGTTCCATGCAAACATCTTTGAAATCAGCGATTAATTAATAAATTATTTTTAAGAAAAAGTATTTGCTAAATTAAATTTTTTTGGCTAGATAAAAATTGATATCCTAATTGAAAAAAAAAAGTATTAAAAACGACATAATGTCTTAGCTCCTTAAATTTGTATTATTAACGTATTAAATATTAATATATTTATAAATATATAAATAATTATTAAAAACAAAAAAAGTGTGTTAACTGTTAGTTACAACCGCTAAAGTCATGCTAAACGTTATAACTGATGAAGTTAAAAATATATAAAAGCAAAATTTTTAAAATAGCAAGTATAAACTTAAATTAGTACTTCCTCCTTATGAAGGGAAAGTAAAGAAAAGAAAAACTGCCATCACGTTACATGAAAAACAAGTTTGTATACATGTATTAATAATAATAAATCTGTACAAAGCATACTAAATAAATATTCATATAATATATTGATATAGTTGTGGAAATAAGTAGATTACACATTAAAAAAATAATGTTGCACCTTTGAAAACATTTTCTTGTATGATATTTAGACAATGAAGGCAAATTTAAGATAAAACTTTTTAGATTTTCTTTGTTTTGCAACTTTTGTAATACAATATCTTACACTATTGAGAGAGACTTCTTGGCATGTGCAATGATATTTTTCTGCACGTGTAACTACAGTGGAATGCATAAAGTACGTCTTCCTTAGAATTTCTAATTTTAAAGTAATTTAAACTAAATTCCATGCTCAAAATATTTTTAAACGTAAACTTAACAATATTTACTGAATTCATCCTTAGCCTCCTATTCAAACAGCATTGGATTGCATTATTTCATCATGGCAAAGGATACTAGAGTGTAAAGGAAGTGAGCAATATCTTCAAGAAGAATTTTCAAAGGAAAACTATTCCATAGTGCTTCAGGGAAAACCACAGAATTCTCGTATATCCATCCTATTCAACTACTAATAATGTATAATATAAAGGGGACGAAATAATGTTCCGCAGCCTCAGTTATCCTCAGTCGGGAAATTTTTGTTAGCCGAGTCAACCCAACGACTTCATATAACAGGTAGACGGCTCACCCACAGAGAATTCGTCTGCTAGGATGTCTCCAACATATACCACGTGACTTAAGCTCTTGGCGCTCTTTGGGGAGTGATAGCTTAGGCTGTTATCGCCAGTTTTGGCGCGCTTCTGATATGGCTAGTAGTGCTTTTTATTTCCGTTTGCTGCAGTCGGCAGACAATGGCCTCGAATTAGGTTATTCGATTTTTTACAATTAATTTTTAGATAACTTAACCCCTTTTTTCCTGAATATTTTACCTATATTTTTAATAATCGCTTTAAATTATTTGCGCCATTATTTAAGATGTTTAGGTTAATAATTTTAGGATGTGTGGTGTATTTAATTATGCAAAGCCACTAGGGCTATCTGCCTAGGGGAGGATGCCTTCGTGGAGGACTTTCTAAGGGAAACTGGCTCGTATACACGTTACACATGGGATAACCAAACCACGAAAAACCCATGCAGCCAGCCCGTTCGTGGGATTCGAACCTCGGACCGAACTACCAGTGTTCAGCGACTTTACCGCTCGGCCGCTGGTGGGCCTAATATTTTAGGAAGAAAATCTAAAATAAATAATAAAAATTGAGAGGAAACTTTATTTTGAATAATGTTTAAAAAATAAATTGCACTACTGTTATAATTTTAGAAGGTAAAAAAAATCTCGTTTATTTTTAATGCATTGCATCCTAAAGAGAAAAATCACATTGTATGTTTTATGCTATTCATGAAATATATACTTACAGACTATTAACTTTCAGCTGGAACTATAAACTATTACTATCCAAAGTTATAATATAGTTTTGACACAAAAAGATAAATTATACTGAAATCTTATACAGAAAATATTTTACTTTCTTATATTTAAGTAAACATAATTTTACTTAATTTAAAGTCAGAAATAGTTTTCGGAACATTTCATTTAACTTTGACCTTTCAGTGTTACCAATAGTACTTGCATTTTGGAAATTTACGATAATAAATAAAATGTTTAGTTTAAAAAAAATCTTTCACTGATTGTAAATGCCCATTTTTTTTTTAGTCCAAAGGGACTTGAATCCCGAAGGACTATTAGTTTCGTTTTGGCATTTTGCGTCGGACTCGGATAAATGTCGGTTCACTTTTCAAACTGTTGCCATAAAATGTTAGAGTCCTGCATTATATTTGAAGAAATTAAATATGAAAAATCTGCGTAAATGTATGTATATTTCTCACATTGTGATAAAAAACGGTACATAGAGTCATCGAATTTTGAATAACGTAATCCTCCAACGAATATGAGCATGTGGAAGACCAAATTTGAAATTTGTTTTTTTATGATCGATTTCCTATTTTTTAAAACTTTGACGAATTTTTGATTAACAAACTCAAGGATTTCAAAGCGAGCATGGCAACGTTGTTGCAGAAAAAACATTTTTATCTCCAGCGCGTGAGTCTCTGTATCGGAAATTCTAAAGATATGCTCGTTTTAAAACTATTTTGCGATATTGCTGTTGCACTGGATCTTATGGTTTAAGTGCGAGGAACATGATATTTAATAAAGAAAGGTAACACACAAAATGTTAAAAAACGCCCCTTTGGACGTAATTTAAAATCTGAAACATTTCAGATTTTTTTTTTTTTTTTTTTTCCCTTTTTTTTTCAGTTACTTGCATATTGAAGTGCTTATAAACTTAGCAATGTCTAGAAAATAATTTCATGCAAACTTGGAAGCTACTACCTTAACTGTATGCTGCTATACATTAAATTTAGTAAGATTTCATATTTTGCACATCAGCTGTAAAATGTACATTTCCAAATAAAATTTTATTACAGAATTATAAATTCAAACATGACAATACATATTATATTTTATTCCTCTATCCCAATTAAATAAACAGTTACGAAAATGTGCATTTAAATATAGTATTTACTATAAATATATCGGGAACAAATACCAAAAATCACCTACTCAAACTGGTAGTCAAGTATATTCCAAATTTCCTATTTTTGATATGTGAATAAGTAATGAGCTTTTTTTTAAAAAAAAAAAAAAAAAAAACACACAATTTGGCTGAAATATAGAAACTACACATTATTATATACTACATGAAGAACTTTATGAAATACAATACCCTATATAAGGCTCTGATATGAGAAATTTGACCTTTTTTTTTTTTTTTTTTTTTTTTTGAGATAATATAAATTTTTTTTTAAAAAAAGTTAGCTTGTAAAACCATGGAAATCTTTATAGATATATAAAGAATGTGATATTTACTTTTAAAAAATCAATACATAAAACAGTGTAAATAAAATACAAACTACAAATTAAAAATACATGCTTTTATTTTAACAAATACAGGGCTTTAATAAAACTGACTGTTTCACAGAAAAGAAAAAAAAAAAAAAAAAAAAAAAAGCTTTTATGAATAGAAAGTAAAAACTAGTAAAGATATAATGATGAAAGCCTCATTCAAACCTGCAAAAGTTCACTCAGATATAGTTTTGATGGGTTTTTTTTTTTTTTGACAAACTATATATATATATACTGTTTGTATGCAACAAAAAGTTAAGGCCTGTTTTCAAGAATTTTTTTTTTTTTTTTTAATTTAACTCCTACTAAATATCTTAATACACACGTAATCCTCATTATAAATTAAAGAAAATTCTATAGTTATGATATATTTATGTTGCTAAAAAATAGTTTTAAAGGAAAAGGTTTTTAAAAAATCTTAAATTAAACAAATATTACTATGAAAGCAAAAACTCTGCAATCAAATATTGAGGTGATTAATTTATAAATAGGTGGCACTTTTAAGTATAGGCAATCT